TTTTTTTTTTTTTTTTTTTGTTCGAGGGGTTGGGGCTGGGGTCGCGCCTCCCCATGGCGCTTTCCGAATCCCCAACCCCCCTCCCCATTGGCCGCCACGTGGCTTCAAAGCCGCGCGTCCGCGCAGACACGTCCGCGCGGTCGGCGGCCTGGCCGCGTCCGCGGATTCGGCCGCGCTTGGCCGCCGCCGACGGGGATTCATAGCAGCCAGACCTTAAAAAGGCCTGAGCTGCACTCACTTGTTGTGGTTATGAGTTGAAGAATTCCCAGCAATGATCTTTCTCTACGTTTTTTTTTTTTTTTTTTTTTTTTTTCGTGGTGGAGATCCCACCGTGATCTCCCACATTAAAAATAGGCAGCCAAATGGCTACAGCTAACTCCTGGACAGCCATAGGCTGCTTTTTTTATGTCTGGCACCCGTTCTGAGGGGTGCCAGCTCAGTGCTAAGGCTGGGGGGGGGAGAACAACTTGTGATAATCACGAGCTAAATTCCCGACAGACTCAGAGCGGGATGCAAAAAGTACCCCGACTCTGACGATTTTTAATTAAAATTTCGTCAAATAAAAAAATCTGAAAAACTTCATGCGCGTGGCATAGGTGCCCACCTACTCAAAGACAATTTTTCAGAGCCAGCAAAAATCATTTATGTCACCAAAAAAATATAGGCGCAAACTGCAAAATACAGAATTTCTCAAAATCTTAATCTCACTTTGTCAGTGTCTTATATTGTACATGACTTCTTTGTCAGTGTACTCATGTGTATGCATGAAGTGTGATTTCATTCAGACTGCGGACCGCACACGATAACTTACCTGGAGACAGAATTTTGCCAGGTGGAGTGACCGTGCTGACTATTTGTTGTTTGACTAGTTCGATATAACTGAGAAGAATACGGCTTTGGTCTGACTACGTAGTCGAGTTTTACATGAGATTTACTTGAGTACGAGCCGGCGAATGGGGTGTTAGTGACTGCGCAAAGGAGTTCCGCTTGCGGCGGGGTGTATAGGAATTCGTTGGTGGATAGTGACTCTAGCGCTTGTGAGGTCTGGATTCCCGGACGGGAGGATGTCGGGGAATGAGCGGCGAGAGGAAGACCGCCAGGGGCGGGACTACCGTCGCGCCGATGACCGGAGGATAGATGTACGACGATCTGATGAAGGATATGAGGAGGATCGCAGGAGATACCGCGCGCCTACATGCTTCAGATGTCATGAACCCGAGCACTACGCTAACCAGTGCCCGGACAGGAATCGATGAAGTTTTCGCTCGGACAGACCATCTACGTCAATGGATTCGAGAGGAAGCCGCTCTCCACGACGAACGGATTATAGACGGAGATGGGAATCACCGCAGAGGGAAGCGGGAAGCGTCCAGGCTACGGTCGTTGAACTGGGCAAATCAGTGGCGGCAATGAAGGACTTCTTTGACGAAGCCCGATTAAAGAAGTTGGAGAAAGAGCGTAAAAAGCAAGAAAAGAAGGAAGCGGAAGAGCATGAAGCAGAGGCGAAGGAGCGGGCGGAACAAAAAGCAATGAACCAGGCGGAGAAACGTCGTAAGGAACTGGAACTGGAAGCAGAGAGACGCCTTGAGATGAAGAAAGATAACGAGATGCAGCTGGCTATTCGATTGAGCGAATTGGAGGATAATGTTACCTGTAGAGTTGAGAGCGTGACCAGACCGCTCAGAGAACTGGTCAAACTCGGTAAGAAGAAGGTGACATATGCTACGGGCAGCGAATCGTCTGCCACTAATGAGGACGAAGGCAGTAACATCAGTGTCACTCAGGAGCTGAACTCAAAGACGGAGCGGCTATGCATCTCTGAAAAGAGGAAGAGAGGTCCTGATCCACTTTTTGAGGGAAGTCCTCCAATGGAGACTCCTCCGAAGCGTACCCGTAAACGAGGGACTTTGAAGCCGGCAATCCCTTCAGCCCGTCTGACTAGATCTAAGGCGTTAGTAAAGAACCCCGGCTGTGTGAAACATGTCTCGCCGGTGAAGACACCGTTGTCAAAGATGGTGAAGAAGAAGCGCACACCGATGGAGGGTACTCCATTGAAGTCCCCAGTCGCGCAACTCCCTCCAGCTACTAAAGGTGCCCTGCAACGACTTCGTTTTCGCAACAGTGTTATGGAGGAACTCAAGGATAGCGATGCAACAGAGCTACAACGACTGTGTAAAGAGGAGAGAGTACCGTATGATAGGAAAGTGGGGGCGATCTTCGCGATCGCGGATAGCCGTAGTCGTTTGAGATTTGGTCAGGATATTGTCGGGGCCGTTGAGGTCATCGAAGTCGGTGACAGCGAGACTGGGCATGCATAAGAAGCTGGACGGGGGAACTAATGTGTCTGGGAGATTCCGAAGTTGTGGAAGCTGTGTAAGTTGTTTACTGATTTATGTAGCGAGTCAACTGGTGTGGATGGAAAGATTGAGGAGATTTTGCGTCTGATTATTCTTCGGCTAGCACTAGCAGGTGAGATCAGGTGGATGCAAAAGTATGTACCGGCTTAGGAGAGATTGTATGATATGCACGGAATTGAGTTTTTACGGCTTACGAATGTTGTGTATGTAGGCGTCTCTCCTTACTGCAAGTACTTCTGTATTGGCAAGACGATTAGGTGTGTTACGGTGGGATGGCGAGAACACGTCCGTGTTTGCAAGTCTAGAGTCCCTTCACACTTTCACCGCTGGCTGATCTCATTTGGAGTAGGGAATAATGTGTTATTACCTGTCGATCATATTGAGGGCGACGACCTGACTAAGTTGGAAAGCCTGTATATTAGGCAATGGTCTCCTTTTCTTAATACAACGGGAGCTCGTGCTTTTGCGATGAAGAAGAAAGCCAAACCCGGGAGACGAGAACGGGCGAAGGACAAACATAGTCAAAGTGGTAGGACTGACTATAACACTTTGAAATTTCGGTAGTCAAAGGGTGAGTCGTGGCGCCTGGATTTCTACCAGGTTCTGAACGACGCATTCGCCACTGGCAAAGTGAATGTGAACATTCTGGTTGATGGAGGGAATGTTTGGCATGGGGGATGGAAGAGGGTTCAACGTGCCTTTGGGGGCACGAAGATTCGATATGAGGGTAAAGATCTCACTCCGAAGGATGCTAAACATGCCTTACAGAAAGGTGGTGTGTTCACAGTTGTGCATTGGTGGAAATGGAAACTAAAGTGTCGTTACTTGAACTCTGTCCTTTTGAGAATTCTTCGTAATCCGCGTGTAGTACATGACGTCTTCCATTGGAATCTCAGGTCTCTGCTCCGATTGTATAGTGCTATCAAGGATTTTAGTTGGAAGCCGACTAGGAAGTATCTACGCCGGTTAATCTCCAGAGTTTTTCTTGACCGTTTTGATTTTAGCATGAGTGCTGATCCTGTTTTCGCCTGAAGTTTGATGATAGGATTCGACTATCTGAAGTGATGAAAATAGATAATGATGCATTGATGAGTGGGGATTTACCCCAAGGCTTTCTGAACCGGACGTGGAAAAAGGTCTGAATTGTCCGGGTTAAGAACCCAGCTGTCTCGGATGTCTTGCACAATCAGCGCGTGTATGCTTTTCGCAATGTGTTGGTCTGCAATTGCGCAGATTCGCCCTACCAGAAATCGGGAGGGCATGTCCGTTTTCGGCTAAGCGAGTTTGAAGGGCTTGACCCTCTTCTGCATAATTCAAAGAACGTTCCTCAAGTTGTTAAGGAGGATAGAGTCGAATTGTTGTACAAGGAGTTGATGGAGGGCTTTAGCACGTGGAGGAATTGGAAAGGGGACCCACCACGCATTTGGCGTGAGGTTGTTCATCGATGTATGAGTGATCATATCGGTGAGAACGGTCAATTGTCGTCTGCCCATCTCAATGATTTGAAGTTAGAGCTTCGAGGGTTTGTGTTGACCCCTCTTGATCGCAACCCTGGCGAGACTTTGGTACTATGCCCGTATCTGTATTTTGAGGCAATGATGTCTACGTTGGTTAGGAATCCAGGATATCGAGTCATCGATGCTGCACCATCTGTAGTGCTACGGGAGATCAGGGAGGAAGTGTCAACGCGAGGCTTGGAGAAATTTGCCAAATGGAACAAAGATGGGGGATTCAGCTATGCCTACGTTATACCTAAGCAGAAAGATGTGGATAGGTATAGGCCAATCTGCCCTACGTACAGTGAGTCAATGGTTAGAACGGGTCGAGTTGTTTCAAGAGGCCTGAACCATTTGTTGAAGACCTTACCTAAGAATTGGCATTTCAATCTGACATTTGTGTCTGGCCTTGCTGCGAAACTGAAGGATATCCATCAGAAGATCTTAAGGCGAGATGCAGGCGGTGAGGTATATACGGCCTCCTTTGACATCAAGGAGATGTTCAGCAGGTTGCCGCATGACGAGACCATGGCCGCTGTCGATTGGCTGTTTGACTTTCACAGGTCAAAGGGCCGGTGCTTCATACGAGTGAATACCCGTGGGAACGGTTCGTCTTTTGGCCGAACCACGGGAGCAGATAATTGGCGAGCTTTGGAATTCACTCACATGAGGGATTTAATTCTTCTCGAGCTACGTCATACATATGTGTTTGCCACAGGTGTGTTACTCCAGCAGTCGTCGGCATTCCCATGGGGAAGACGACAAACCCTCCATTGGCTTGTATCTTATGTGCTTATTCAGAATACCGTTTCCTCAGAAGTATTGGATCGGATTTCCGCCTGGTGCATGGTACAAGGCTAATCGATGATGTGATGATAACGCTAGCGGTTGTTGAACCTCGAAGGACTAAGATATTGAAACTTTTCCAAGAGTGTTACCCTGCTGCGTTGACCCTGAAACGCACTGATGAGGATCCAAGCTGCTTTGATTTCCTTGGTTGCCAAGTACAGACGAAGCCTACCTACCCATATCTCAGTTGTGTGCAGATCTCAAAGAACGAAGATAGTGTCTGGAACAGTGAGCCGCTGCGTATTCAATGTGGCCAGTCATTCCTTTCGTGGGGATGTAAGAAGCAAAAAAGTGTCGTGAAATGCAGCCGCCTTCATAGGATAGACCAGAATACAACTATTCGTCATGAGATTCCCTGGAGGGTGAGGACTCTGAAGAAGGAACTATCCAAGAATGATGATCTAAATCACTTATTCATGCGGGTGCTGAAACGGTTTGCATTTAGGCGCGATGATACGTGGCAGCTGACTGTGGAGCTATTGTCAAATGAAATCGCTCTGTAATTTTGCTTCGGTTTATTGGTGCTTGTTGCCTTGGTGTTTTGACTCGGATTCTGTGGATGTGTGGTTAGGTAGTATTATGTTGGATGATTACTGGAAGCTTGGACTCTTGTTGCTTGAAGTCAGTACTTAGGCGGTTTTGTATACAGGATGGAACTGTTCAATTAGATAGTTTTGCATGCCAGGATGTCAAATCAGGATAGGGTAGTCTGATAATCGCATGTGCACCGCATATCATGCTGTTGCTGTAGAACTAGGGTTCACACAGAAACTTACGCCGTAGCCGGATTTGGATAGGGTGTATGGAAGGGGGCACGTTGTCGACCTATTGTTGATATTTTCGTCTTATTTCTATCTGTACCTGGACCAGTAGGTCGACGGTACCCTCAGGTTGGTTTCTTTGTTTTCTTTATTTTCTAGTATCAGTGCCTTCGGTAAGTGGACCCACCCACTAAACTTAGTAGGGTCTGGGCCCATATTTTTTGTTGTTTCAAGTATGATTTTTTCTTTACTAGGGCTGTGTAGGTAGGTATTGATTAGTAAATAGGCAATCATTGCAAAAATTTCGACCTCTTCATAGGAACTAACGTCGCGCGACGCCCTTGAGCGTCCGGACGCGTGAGGGTTGAGCAGACGGAAGTGGGAAAGGGCTTGCACGGTTAGTACGGGTTTGTAGGTGGTAAACCTCCTGAAGACGACGACGTGGCTGCCGTCGAAACGCGTCGAGGACGCCGATCTCTTGTGTTAATTCTTCCGATAAGAGTTTGCAATTGTCATTGTCTTATATTGTACATAACTTCTTTGTCAGTGTACTCATGTGTATGCATGAAGTGTGATTCCATTCTAACTGACTCTGATTCAGAGCGGGATGCAAAAAGTACCCCGACTCTGGCGATTTTTAATTAACATTTCGTCAAATAAAAAAATTTGAAACACTTCATGCGCGTGGCACTGGTGCCCACCTACTCAGAGAAAATTTTTCAGATCCAACAAAAATCATTTACGTCACCAAAACAATATAGGCGCAAACTGCAAAATACAGATTTTCTCAAAATCTTGATTCCACTTTTTTTTTTTTTTTTTT